ACTATAACATCCAAATTCTTAATTTTTCTGAAAGGAACTAATAGCTGAACATCTTATGATATATAAACATTTTAAATTGCGGGCAAAAATGTTGTCCACCATCCAAAATCTATGAAAATCAAATGAAATATCGCCTTAAACACTGCAACTAGAGGGCGCAATAAGCTCAGCAAGTACATAAACCAAGAGAAAATAAATTATAAAATTACAAAGAAATCAGAGTAGAGAACGTAAATGAAAATTTATTAACATTCTCTGGTTCTATTCATTAACATTCTCTGCAATCATTTACGCAATTTTTAATTAAAAGCCAAATTTAAATTGATAAAGTAGATAAGCTATATAGGAGATTATACATATATATTCTAGCATTAAACCAGAGAATGTTGAAGAATTTTCATTACGTTCTCTGCTCTGATTTCTTGTAATTTAAATTTATTTCTCTTGGTTATGTACTTGCTGAGCTTATTGCGCCTCTAGTTGCAGTGTTAAGGCGATATTTCATTTGATTTTCATAGATTTTGGATGGCGGACAACATTTTGTGCCGAAATTTAAAATGTTATATATCATAAGATGTTCAGCATTAGTTCAGCCTTAGTTCTTGGATGTTATAGTTAGCAAAATTACCTAGATTGATTCATTTACGTTCTCTGATTAAACTTACCAGACTGATTAAACTGCCATCAATTGTATTTGTATATTTCATAGATATGCTGTTTAATTAGAACGCGCCCGTCGCAGGATCCAAAGATCACAGTTGGTTCCGTTGCCGGCAGCACCGGTATAGTACGAAAATTTAAAGTTTTCCGCTGCAATTTAAAAGTTTTCAATAAACGCGTTCTACACTTCCACTATACCCGCAATTATTTACTAAATTTACATATAATATGTATGAATTTTAGTTCTATAAGACGATCTACTATTAGTAAATCCACTTTTATTTTCACTTAAAAGAACAAAATTTATGTTTATGATATGATCGAAGACGCACACTGATTCATTAACATTCTCTGGCCAAACCATTGCCTTAATTTGCACTTTACAGAAAATACGGTCTGATTAGATTCTGCCAATTGCCGGAACTATAAAACTGCACTGGCTTCCGTTGCCGGTAGCACACAGAAATCCGTCAGTAAATTTTTAGTTCACTGTGAGCAGACCGCGCATATACGGCACCACTGTAAGACTATTCTAAAATCCAACTTTCTTTTCCCGTAACGCACCAAATGTTGTATTTACTATATAGCCGACTACACGCACTTTACTTATAAACTATTTTCAACACTTTTCACTGATTCTGACTTTTCTTCACAATATAAGATCACTTACAATTTAAAACAGTTCTTTCGCGATAAAAATAGATGCCACGAAAATAGCGGTAGTTAATTGACAGCCACTCCACCAACAAATCAAAGTAACACGTTTTGAAATTGGGCTCGGTAGATGGCGCTTAACACACGTGATTAAACGCAACAGAATGAAATATTTGAAACGAAGAGTAAATACAATATTTTATTGAAATAATAAGAAAATAATATTCTACAAAAAGGTAATTGATATGAAGGCATACTGTCGGTTGCTTTAAAAATTGCATATGCCAATGTGATACTTCTTGGTTTTAGTAAATTATTCAAACAATTATTTCTGCAAACATATAAACTATTTGCTGCACTTCTAACACCCTGTAGTGTGCAGCATCACCATTGCACACTTTAACAGTTTACTAGCAAATCGTCTGCCTTTCAACTGACAATTCTAAAAGTAATTGTAGAAACTTCCACGAGGACCATTCAAATTAACAAATTAGCAAGTAAATAGTTTAAAACAGCACAAAATGCCAGCTGACACTACAACCAAGGTAAGTCTGCTTGTTATCCGCAACAAAATATTTATAATTCAATGCCTTCACGTTTTTTACAGCAAGTTCAGGATTACAAAGATTCGTTAATCAAAAAGCCGAACAACTTATTATACAGGGCTTTCCAGAGAAAATTGTTGAATTAATGAACTCCTCGCAACGCCTATGTTTAGCGATCGTAACTTTAATGAAGTGCATCAAGACCTTAACATTCCAACGCCAGAAACAATTTTGGTGAACAATCATGCCGACTCGGCTGACGACGGTGGTGACGCGACCAGCCGGCGGCAAAAGACCACGCACCGATCACTTTGTGCCTGGCACCAAAGTTATGTGCTTGCCTACGGTTCTGTACCTTGCAATGAGCCACTCTGCGAAATGATTAAAATCGTAAACCAATTATTCGTAAACTTGTGGAAGATTGTAAGTAATGTCAACGCATATACATTGTATATATGCCAAATTGTTATCTTACTGTTTCATTATTTCCAGCAAATTTATTAAAATGTGGATTTCGTTTTAATACCCAAAATCGAGGATGGCAATAATTTCGGCGTATCTGTACAGGAAGATACGCTTGCTGAAATACAAGCTGTTGAATCGGAAGCTGCGGCATTTTTCGACCAAATTTCGCGTTATTTTTATCACGCGCCAAAGTTGTTTCGAAAGTCGCGAAATATCCACATATCGAGGATTATCGACGCGCAGTGGTGGAGTTGGATGAGAAGAATACTTAAGCTTGTGGTTGGTTGTATGTGAAGTGCGAAATCGTTATTCATCACTACATGATATCGTTATTAAAATTTGGAGAAACTGAAGAAACCACGTTCATCCAATGCTGATAGCTTATATTAAACTGTAATGAAAAACAACACGCAATCGTATTAAAACACATACAAAGAAAACAACAAAGCATGGAGGCATGCGTAATAGTGAAGCCGTTACGAACAGGTTGAAGTTGTGTCAGCGCTGCAGTTAACAAGAAATGCATGAGTTATATATATCGGACAATTTGGGTGCAAGCGGATTGGAAAGGCGTGCAATGCGCGGTGACACTACTTAAGATACCTGTGGATCGTAACAACAAACCGCTCTCAACAGTTTATAATAAAATGCTTGAATTTAGTATGTAAAATGTGAATTGCGACGTTAAAAATATTGGTTAGTTCAATATATTTTGATTGTAATGTTAATTTCTTTTTCTCAATCCATTTTGCATTAACTCAAGGTATATAAATATGTATGCATAGAACTTACGTAAGAAAAAAAAACACGAGTAAATAAAAAAAGCCGAATTTTACAAAATTGGTTTTGTTATTTAGAAAACGCTGACTTAATTTTTGTTAAACGTGTAACTGACTTTGGCGTAAAATATTGATTGACAGCGGTTAGCGTGGCAAATTTTTGTTGTAATTTAGAAGGCATTGTGTTGTATTTCACAATTGTGCAAAATTTTATTTTTATTTATATGTCAGCTATATGTACATATGTTTACACAATGTTGCTGTCACAGGTATGTATGAGAAGTTGAAAGTATTGTCGCTCTCACAGCATCTTTTGAAGGAAACAATGGGAGGATTAAGTGATGAATTTGCATTTTAAGTTGTTATAACAACAATAATAATAATTGGCTTGATTTAGTTAGTTTGTGGGGCTATATTCATACATATAAATATATATATATATAAATATAATTATTTAAAAATTTAGAAATTGAGGAAAGTCGATTAATGTGATTTTGTAGGAATAGAAAACATTCATAAAGTAATTTAAAATGATGTCAAGTTGACAATCTTTTGTCGGTTAAAATTCGGGTCCGTTTCGGTAACGTAGACCCTACTGTCGTAAGCATGTTCAATATATGTCGTAACAACATATGCTTTTCTTTGGCAGCTGAGCTCTCCGTTACAACAAAAACCACTATAGTATTGCGATATCAGATGAACCACAAATTAACTTTGGGTTAAGAACGATTATTTGCTGGAAGCAACTAAACATTTTTAGCAACCACTAAATATATTGGAAAAGTATAGAAAATCGAAGATGTTTACCGATCTGGTTATTATGTGAGTATAATAAATTTTCAAAACTGACAATATTTGCTGGTTTAAGAAATAACGCAACGGAATAATTTATATATAATATTTTAAGAATTTTCGTATTTAAAGAACATAATACATAATCAGTAAAATCAGATTAAATTTAGATTTAAATTTTTATTGGGAATTTAAATTTATTTTTGATTCAAGACTTTTGGGATTAAAATTGTATTTTTATTTAATAAAAATTAATTTTATGAAAGCAATTAAATATAAATAAGATAAACAGAGCTAAACTATGTGGTTATTTTATTAAAATAAGCTTTCCTTTAAAAAGATAAACAAACTGATAGAAAACTATGTGCGCAATTATGTAAATTCTAAAAAATTATTTTTAAATTTTTTATAATCTTGGAATTACAATTTTTCAATACGAGATTTGGGATAAAATTTTGTTTTCAATTCATTAAAATTCATGAATTAAAATGAATGAATTAAAATAAACTTTTAATTAGCTTTTTATTTTTCGATTCGGTATATATGTAGGCCTTACATTTTTTTTTTCTTCAATCCCGTTTTCGAGATCAAAAATTTTAAAGTTATTTAAATTAAGATTTTCGTGATTACATATAATAAAAAAACATTTTAATTCAATATTTTTATTATTATTTTATTATTTGCAAACCTGCATATAAGTTACAAAATTAATTAACTAAGCATTTTTATGTTATACCATTGACCTACTTCAGGTCTTAAAAAATTTAACTTCAACTAATAATTCGAACCCTCATACACCCACTAATTAAGAAACACATATTTTCATTAAATATTTACAAATTTATATATATTTATATATTTCACAACTTTTGTCACCTCAATTGCAATTGAATGAACCTTACGAAATTAATTACATAATATAGCTAATACAAAATAAATTAGAAATAACTTAAGATATAAAACACATATTTATTGAACATTATAAAAAAATATCTGCACGCACACTTTATAGCAGTGTTTCTCTGATATACATGCACACTTATACATAAACACTCGTTATATATATTATACCTATTCAATTGTAGCGGGTGATTTATATACAAACATTATTTGTTTTACGGCTTTAAGTTAAAGACAAAAAGAAGTTCGAGCTCGATTTCCTAAATATGCACTTACAATATGTTTAAATATATATGTATGTATGTATATATGTACATATATATATATTAAAATATAGTGAATGGAATTTATTGCTAGAAACATGTGTTTAAAATTTACAAATTCCACACATTTACGTATTTACAATCGATTGTGGTTATTAGTTTTGGACTTTTTTTTTTAGGTTATGCTATATTATATGTCATTTACTTTAGTTTATTTATGTTTTTTTGCAAAATATGCAATTTTTATGCTAAATTTTTGCTTACATTGTATTATATTATTAATTATAATAGGTAAATATTATATAGGCCTGGCTCTTAAGCCAACTTAGCCGGTCTAAAATTTATGCTAATACAAGATTGTGTAAAGAAAATTCTGCTACAATACTGTGAAAAACATAACACCAAACAGTGAAAATTATTTTCTAAATTTTTTATGCAAATTATCAAAGTGTACCTTTAGATTTTTAAAACTTACTATTTAATTTAGTTTTCGTTTAGTCGTTTAATTTCTAACAGTATTGCAGAAAAAATTTGTTTTCGGTTGTGAGCTTCTTAGTAATTCTATTTATGGAGTAATAAAAAAAATTACATGGCAAATAGAAAGACAATAAATTACAAAACAAAAAAAATATAAAAAAGAGTTGAAGTTTCTTTAAGGATAAGTAAAACATTGAACTGAATCATAATTTAAAAAAATATTTAAAAAAAATAATATAAATATAAAACAGAAATAAAAATAAAAAATAAAAACAAATGTAGAACCTTAAAAGAAATATAAAATATTAATTAGAATTATTAAAATTTATGAATATAAATTCAATATAAATATGATTAAAGCAAACAAATTTGATAAAAAAAAATTAAAATTATTACTATTAATAAATATATAAACAAAAATTATAATAAAATAATAAAAAAATTTAGTCGTAATTAAAAAAAAATACATTAAATAAAAATTTTTTTCTTACAAAAAGAAAATTATAAAACATATTTAAACAAAATATTTAATTTAAACTAAATGTATGTAGTACTAAAAGCAAATAATTTTGATAAATATTTTAATATATAATGAAATTAAATTTCGCATATAGAAATTAAAATGTAATAAATAAATAGTAATAATAAACAAAAAACAAAAAAAAAAGAAATAAAATAAAAATGTAATAAAAGCAAGCTATTTAAAACTGTTAAAAAATTAAAATAAAATTTAATAAAAAATTTTTAATAAGAATTAAAAAAAAATGATGTCATCATATGTAAAAACAAATACTAAGAAATTTTTTTAAAATACTCCAATTAAATGAAGATTTAATAAATAAATAAAATAAAAATATAATAAAAAATAAATTATGGTATAATGAATAAAATAAAACAGTAAAATAAAAATAAAATAAAATTAATTAAAATAAAATCAAAACAAAAACTGAAATAAAATAAACGCCAATTACTTTAATATATAAAAAAAATGAAAAGTTAAATAATCGTTGTTAAACAAAATTTACATAAAAATATAAATTTTAGTCGCTAAAGTTAATGGCGGCTTTTCGTTTTTTTTTTTTTTGTTTTGTTGAAATTAATTTTTTGCTGATGTGTTAGTTTTTTACAATTTTCCTAACTTAAAAATTTTTTTTTTGCAACTTGCTTGTCTAGCAAATGTTTTAGTGAACTTTACACAACACTTACAGTTTTAATCTTACACAAGTAAGGACATTTTAAAACCTAAGTCTAAATTTAAACAATATTCTGCGCATTAAATGCAAATTTTACTACCATTTGCTGCTATACAAATCGATAATCAGCAAAAGCAGCAGATAGTTTCAGTAACTTTAATAATTATTTTAAAATATCATCCTAAATTGAACCGCAATAATATTTATTTATACATATGTTTGTATGCCTAAATTAAGTAAAATGGCACAGACATTTACCACCCTAGAAAAAATTATATAATATAATAATATGTTATAAGACGACACATAACGTTTTGCCACCCAACTAACGGCATGCCACGCCCATAACACTAACTCAAGCACACGTATCCATACTACCAATGCGAACCCCAATCGATGACTGCCACATCCGTTTGCCCAGTATTGCTCCAAGCAGACTTATAGCTGGCACTACCATAACCACTTGTGTTATAGTTTTTGTTATTGTTATTGTTGTTGTTGTAGTAAGCGTTGTTGTTATTGTTGGCAGTTTCGGTATTGAAGATCACAGCTGGTTCGACGCGATGCTTTAGTGTTAGACAGCATGTTTGTTGTACTTTAGGAGGCGCCCGCTGCGCGATATCCCACCCGACTGTCCCCTCTTGTTAGAAGCCACGACCATTACTCGTTGCGTCATTCAAGAATGGTTTCTCCTCGCTCTTCACCAGATTGCCGCTTAGCGTTGGATCGGGTCGTCGACGCTTGAAGAAACCGATATGCCAGAGTATAAGTACGACCACAGCCAAGACGATCAGTCCACAGATAATGGCGACAATGTAAACCCATATAGATGTCGGCTGCTCTCTCTGCTGGTCGAGCAGTTCAGGATAGGCGCGTGTCTCCAGCTAAAACAAAAAAAAATTAGAGTTTAGTGGAATACTTTCTATATTGCCAATAAACCATTTAAATACGCGTTTACTTACCAGGTAATTCTCTTCCGTATGCTCCACTGAATATTCGAGCGGTATTTTAACTGTCGCTCTCGACATAATTCGCACTAAATCGGCGCGTGGATACTCGGATACGAGCGTGGAATTCCACAGACGCGCACGTATATGCACGTACGCCTCGGTGAGCGCTTCAATATTGTAAATTTCACATTGGATTTTAACGCAAGACGCCGTCGCCTTATTGCAATCCAACTCGACTATGTCACGTTTGCGATTTGTGTGCTCACCACCGTTGTCCATGAAACGTTCGGGTCGTATAATGCGTTCGAATGTGTTTCGGCGCACACGATTTAAATACCGTCCTTCTTCGTCATCATCGTCCTCGTCATGTGGACCCGGTCGTTGTGTTGGCTTTTGCTTTTTGTAGACACTCTTCTCACTGTACGTGCTGTAACGGCTAAAGTATTGTGTCTTATCGGTGGGACGCATCATATAGGCTGCCGGTGCCATTTGCAGTGTGCTTAATAAATCGTTTGATTTCGTTTTCGCTGTGAGTTTGAGTGGGTTAATATGCTCGGGTGCTACGAAACATTCGCTGAGTTCGGCATTCTCTACAATTGGCATAGCCTCTAGGTAGAGTAACCACTTGTCCTTTTTACTCTTTTCACTGGTCAACTGATGTGGCCAGTAGATAGTGAGCACGACCTTCGGTGCCTTCCAGGGCCCTTCGTTAAATATCTGTGGGTATTAATTTTAGTTTCATACATTTTTGTTTTGTTTTTTATATGTTCGTTCACATTTTTAATATATGGTATTTTGTGTCGAAAATTTTTTTTTTTTTATTTTTAGTAGAATTAAATGTTTTTATACCAAATTTACTTCATAAATCAACTGTATTTTATTGATTTCGCAATACTTTAACTAAAAAAAATTTAATTAATTTTTTCGAGCAATATTTTATTGAACAAACATTAATTAGCTTAATTAGTGAAATTTTTTTAATTTAAAGTCAAATTGAATTAGTACTTTGGATGCGAAACTAAACGAAATCATTCATACTAATTTATTACTCGTTTCAAATGGTCTATTCAATTAGTCAGTTAGTAAATTGTTTAGACGCGTGCATAGCGAGAAATTTCTGACTGAATTAAGTTCTTGCAACCGTTTACTAATTGACTAAATTAGGGCGCTGTTTGAAAAATTATGAGATTAGATTAAATTATATTTTATGAGATTTAGAATAAAATTATTTAATGAAATTTAATATGAATGATTAAATTAACTCACACACTTCGACTAAGTTCAATTTAGTGAAATTAATTATAACTGAACCTTAATTTAATTAATTCAACTTAATTTAATTCACATGAAATCCATAATGAATTCGCGTCAATTAAATCATTAAAAGTTCAATTACAATAATTTAAATCAAGTTAGTCAAATTTTAAATAATAATAATTTTAAAATAATTCTTTAAGTTTAATTCGACTAAATATAATTACAGTAATTAGATTTTTTATTTAATTAAATTTTAATTATAAATAAAATATAATGTAATTAATTAACTTTAAATAATTTAATTGCCATTAAATTACGAAAAGTTACTTAATGAAATTTAGTTAAATTAAATGAAGTTAATTTGGGGAAAAAACATGAATTGAACCAAATTTAAAAATATAATTAATTTTTTCATTTTCCCAAATGTTAATTGACCCAATTTATTGAAATGTTTTTTTTCCGTACCGTGTAAGTGTGCATCACTGGCGAGCCAATATCTTCCATTTGCATAACCTTGCTGTCTTTCTTCACCTCGCCACTGTAGAAGCTCTGTTCGGGTTTTTCCAAACCATTAAGGCTTAGTTTAGCACGTTTCACCACCCGCACTTCTAACTCTTTATCGGGCTTCTCATCGCCAACATGTCGCGACGTCGTATTGACAAAGACGTGAAAACTTAACTTACGCTCATCATTCTCCAAACCGCTGGGGTCGAAACGCAGTGAGACGTAAAGAGCCGTATTGCGCTTCATCGGGTTGCCAAGGCTACAGGCAACTACGGTGTCGTTGAAACGATTGCAGGTTACCGAGTTCTTTGGAAAAATATAACAAATATAAATATTTTTGTCAACGAAAATTGTTGAAATCTCTATGGACTCACCGTACGCGAAGCGGCAATGTATGAGACACTTTTTTGATGCACAACAAACAATTGTGTCTCATATGCCGAATCCGCCTTATTCAATACGTTTACATTGACACGCGTCTCATTCTTCTCGCCTAATATCAAAGCATAATTGTCATCTGCAAATAAGTGAGTTGTTGGAAAAAAGTTCTCCTAACATTGTCTATGATCTATATCTATATCTTCACCAATTATGTACTCACTTTCCATGTTCAAATCCAATTCTGCATTCAATATAAGATTACTCTCACATATATCATCATCACCGCAATCCTTTTGGAATGTACCTTCGAATTCAGCGAAAGCCTGTGTTTGATCTAAAATTGGATTTAATAGTTCCAAACCGGAACGTGGTAACCGCGGTTCCACAATTGTATAATTCAAGCGAAACTTAATCGGACTCTGTATATCTTTGGTATTCTCTTTGATATACCCGGTGACTTGCTGACAAGTTTGTCGTCCATTGGTACGCACGGTAACTTCGCGTTTCACCACATTGCTGTGCTTAATTTCGCGATCGAAAAATACACGCGAGAATTTCTTATTCCCAGCAAAGGTTTCTGCTTCGACTGTGTACAATAGACGCAAATCCTTATTTGCCGACGACGGTTCATAAGGTTCAATGGAACAGCAGGCTTCAAACGTGAAACACGTGAGGTTTGTTGAGGCATCATGTAAGCAGCCCGGTTTTGCCGGATCAATATTCCGTAATTCATTGCTCCGTGTCGTAGTTTCTATATTGATGATGGGTCGTGAGAGTAGCATAACCACTGCCGAGGAGTTGTAGGCGCCAACAGCTATATCTGGGTATGAGTTACCGTCCAAATCGGTGCCACCACTTATTGAACTGCCGAATGTATGCAGTGGATGCGGCAATAAACCCAGATCTGACGCTTGTATGCGTTGCGCAGGCTTACTAACCAAACCACTACGTGATCCTAAATAGATATATACCACACCATCACCTTCGTAGGGTGCTCCCACAGCCAAGTCCTCACAGCTATCCTTGTTGATATCACCGATGTTGGCGAGCGCTAGTCCAAAGTGACTTTCCATAGTCCCGGTCAGTTTCAGCGTCGGTTGCTCTGGCAGCATATCTTTATCGTTTTGATATATATAAACTGCGCCACCTTCCTTTTTATTAAAATAGAATGGTGCGGCAATGATGAGATCCGGTTTCTGATCGCCATTAATATCGGCAGTGGTCAGTTCATAACCAAAGCTCGATCCGAATTGTTCTCCTTCGAGTATCATTTTAACGGGTATGGGATTGGTATTAGCTTTGTTAAAGATTATCACTTGACCGTGTCCATTGGAACGGGGCGCTCCAGCGGCATAAGACATACGATCCCCAAAGTAACGTCCACCAGTGACAGCCATGCCTGCAGTGAATAGTTTTTGATTTTTGTAATAGATGAAAATAATTATTTGGACTTGGATAGATGGTTTTGCATACCCAAAACGTATAACTAAGTATCCGGGTATAAAACTAATGCTAATAACTTAAATTAAATTTAGAAAATCACACTGAGAAACTCAAGTTAAGCGCACCGAATATCCTTGGAAACATGAAAGTAAAGGTAATAGTATGAGATACATCCAATACTCGGAAGCAGTCGAACCTTGCTTTCAATAACATATGTGATAGACCCAAAGAGCTGACGTAATACAGCTCTAAAGCCGATACACAAATTTAAAGTTCGAGTAATGTTTCTTTCTGCAAATTTTTTGGGTTTCGTTTTATCACAATAATCGGTTGACAAAGCAGCTAGTACTCATTATGCTTTATAACCTCCGGTGTAGCTCATTGTCGATGTCTTTTCGGGACAGCTTGTACCCATTGTGATTTATGACATCCAGTGTGGATCATTGTCAATGCTCTTCCGAGGGTTTCCAATAAAACTGTACACTTTTCCGGATTTTCATTCCATCAAATGAACTCAGTACTATATTGACTGCACATTAAAGCATCGGCCCAATCGTCCATAAGCTTTAATAAAAACTTATCTCAAAAGACAATTGGAACGAGAAAAATATGCCCAAATGACTTTCGAAGTAATTGCTTTAGTATGCACAGCTCAGAAATAGTTTAGCTAGCGAAAGCTACTTTGCTGGCTTTGTTTGAGTTTCGTTCTCTTGTTAAAAAATTTACATCGAAAACAATAGATATTTTACCCAGTTGTTTTCCTTGTAAGCAATAAGAAACCTTAATCAATTGATATAATTTCAATTCCTTCTATCTCAATTTCTTTAAAATATTATATTTGATTTGTGCATTTATTTGGTCGATTCGCCACTTTGAAGAGTTCGCATACAACATCATGTTGACTCTCTAAGAGGTCGTAGCCTTAACTTTCCCTATCAGTGCCTTTGGCTTGGTCCCTATCTAATAAAGTGTTAATGCTAACGGTGTTATTGTTTAACGGTGTTAAATAAATCAAACAATAGCAGTTGTGCATCGAACTACAACATATAAGAGTATTTTTTTAAAAAGGGTACTGTTTTTTTTTATATATAGCCTCTTTTAAAAATAAAACTTTTCACTGTATACTTTAATAATAATTATTATTATATATCGGCTGAGCTTTTCTTTCAGTTTTTTTTATTAAATATTCTAAGTTTATACATATTGTAATACCTTTTTTAAGGCTACGATTCTTTTTTGTAAGTATAGAAGAAAACTTTTTTTTTACAAACATTTCGAGAGTTCTGCCGCAGTCGAGAGTATTGTTCACAATCGAGGCATGGTTATGAAAGGAACATTTAGTTACGTCCTTGGTAAACAACTTTTTATTTCACCATTTATCGTCGACAAAACTCGATTACACAATATTTACGACATTTGATTGCGATGTTCTTAAACAACTTTTTATATTTTTATGATTATTCATTTTCAGGGATTTCATGGTCGCTCAAATTATGCTAGGATTAGAAGAGATTCCAGCTTGTTTGTGATTCTGAAGCTCTCATACAATTGGAGGGTTCGAAAAAAATTGAACCGCCTCCAAACAACAAGTTGTTAGTAATACTCATTTTTTGATGTGAAAATATTATAAATTTGGGGGTTTTGACATAATCTACTGAGAGATTAAAACTAATAGAAAAAAAGTTTTCTTTAGCTTTTTTTGCACGCAGCAATCCTCGTGTGGAATTTGAGCGATCGGTTAAGTCCACCAGGTAACTATAGATAAAATATTACACACAAATTTTAGGAGTTGCTGCAAGCTTATTTAATTATAAGCATGCGGAGAGGTGCGCTTTTATAATGAATATTAGGAATATCGATTGTTTCAGCAGTGTTTCATTATAATTTTTGCCAATTACTTAAATTATATATTTTAGTTGCGACTTACCCAAGTAACTGTACTTGTCCACCGGTGATGTATTTTCCAAATGATCACCATAGTACATTGTCTTATCGCGTTCCAGATATTCGCCGCCAATTTCCGTAACAAACACAGTGCCGCGCCACGTAAAGGGTCCTGGTGAGCCCAGCACCATGGTGTTGTCATCCAACAGCGCGCCTGAAGTGCCCACCTGACAAAAGCCGTAATCTTCATGCTCTCTGCGCGAAATGAAAAAAGTACAAAAATAACAGTTAGAAATAAAGTGCGAAATAAAACAGAAAAAACTGCAGTTGGCAAAAGTGAGTCAGGTCATGGGGTTCGAGGTGAACATTGTGGTGAGTAAATTAATTCATTATGTGCACTAGCTTCTAACCAACTACAGCAATGTAGGTGCCACAGGTTGCATGCCACCCACGCGTACACACCCCATTTTTTCTATGCTTGCGGGTGTATGCATTTGTATGTGTGTGTTTGAACACGAAAAGCCATTTTGGTGTAATGAAGAATGTACATTACGACAACAGCGGTCGACAATGGAAAATATTGGAGTGGTCATAGACACAAAGGCGAATATGCAGATAGACGAGTAAATTTAAATTATAAATAAAAAGTAATTGAATAAATGAAAAATTACGCTTACATGTGTGCAACACAAAGGAAATTGCGAAGTGTGGCCAAACCCAGAAAAAAAGATAAATTATAATAAAAATATAAAAAACGTTAACTTTAATTACAGCGGCGCTAGAATACCCTTCACAGTTGCATTTCTTATAGCATAAAAGTAAAAAAAACCTTGTTTTTGTTTATTTTGATCGGTCAATTTGTATGGCAGCTATATGCTATGGTATTAAGATCTGCAAAAATTTGTTCGCAAATTATAGCGTGACCTTGGAAAATAATCTATGCCAAATTTGGTGAAGATATCTTGTCAAATAAGAAAGTTTTCTATACAAGCACTTGATTTTGATCGGTCAGTTTGTGTGATAACTATATGCTATAGTAGTCCGATATTGGCAGTTCCGACAAATGAACAGCTTCTATCGGAGAAAAAAACGTGTGCAAAATTTTGGATCGATATCTCAACAACTGAGGGACTAATTCGCATATATACAGACAGAGAGACGGACATAGCTAAATCGACTCAGCTCATTACCCTGACAATTTATATAAATATATACTCTATAGGGTCTTCGATTTTGCCTTCTGGGAACAAACAAACTTTGGGGCAAACTTAATATACCCTGTTCAAGATATAACAATAAAATCAAATGAAAAATGGTGCTGCATATAGTAAAGACAGGTAGTAAAGACAGGCGGGCAGGTTGGGTGTTAGGAAGGCAAACAAACGGTGGGCAAGCTGATGAATTTCTTTATGGTTATAAATTTAAACAATTCAAACTTAATAGCTGCAACAACACCAGCACAAATTGAATGGCCTCAGCTATTGTTGTTGCTGCCACAGGTTGGAGTTGCCGGCAATGTTGATTTGCCCGTTTATTGCTGTTGCAAATGCCTTTGTAATGACTTCATTGCAAATTGAATTGCTTGCCCCAAATTTGTTGCGGCTATGCCACTGGACACCAACAGGCTACTACAAAGATATGTATCTACAATGTGCATATGTATTTTTCAGCAGTATGTGGCAAGCTGAAATGATTTATGTGGCATATTGTCAACGCGCGGCTGTGTGCTGAGTAGAAGTGCTGAAATTAATTTGTGCAAATTATACGCGAAATTTGCGAAATAGTGTTTTTGACCTCATTGCCAGAGCACGGAAATTAAACGCCGTCAGTTGGCGGCATAAAGACAAACGTTTTTCGGATCACAACTTTAATAGCGAGCAGTTTAAGGTGTGTAATTACTTGGTTAAAGTGCTTACTTTAATTATTTACAGTACATTACCCGCTTTGTTGTTCTTGCAGTGCAATAAAGGACAATGACAAGTGCTCTCAGCGGGATACGACGCGACCTTCAATGAGGCGCCACATATACATATTGTCACGCGAAAGTGCAATCATTTAAAGTTTTCGAAGGTCGCCATGTGTAAGGAGAGCTGATGAGAGTTGATGGTACGTGTACAATACCAGATAATGTTCCTTGAATATCGCAGGCACGGCTATCTCTTTAAACGTATTTGTTAATGCTTTCATTTTCTTCTTAGTATGAAATGTTCGCTTAGAAGAGCTTGTAATCGCCCCTATATACATATATTATAACTATATTTGTGCCATGCATATAGTTTCAAGCAACTTTAACCTACGATCATGCAAGTAATGGCTAGAATCTTGCAAAAAGAGAAGCTGAGAAATAAGAGCATCCAATTTATGACCCCACAGTAATACAAGAAGTCAGTTAATATACCACATGCCCTAATCTAAGTACTGTCACAAAACGTTTTTTTTTTGTACAGGTAAAATGTGTATAAGTCTCTAATAAAAGCGGAAGATAATGTCAATTCTGACATTTGCAAAGTAAGCAATTCCAAAATAAACTTCACTACACTACAAAAATATATGAATTACTGAATACATGAGAACACGTATTAAATGGTATGGTTGTTTTTGAAATAATTTGTCGGAGGTGTTCATTCAGCTTGAATATCAGATTTCTCGGCTTCTTAGAACAAACAGTTTTTGGCTTCTCAGCTAGAAAAGTATATGCAACATAACCTGTTGCTAATTCTCACTGCCCACTGAAGATTCCGCAGAGGACACAGGACAGAGTAACGATCATCAGAACTGCTGTTTTATTGATCCTTAATCGTAGATGCTTTTAGAAAATTTTGAGTAAGCGTACAGAATATTCTCAAACAAAGCCTGGATAATATTATAGCTCTGAGACATTCCGAAAAAAGTTTAAATCTAAGATGACTCGTATCATCTGGCTCTTTATTGAGCCACATATGGTTTCAACAGGATTGCGTAAGATAAGTACTATGCTGACAAACAAATAAAATGTTGATTATTTTTCTAAAGTTACATACCTATGTGAGCATTCATAATTTTCTTCAAACTGATATCTAGATATTGGAAACTTACCGCTATCTCTTTCTTCACTCTAGGTGTTATATTAACTTACGAATTTCAAAAAACAATATTTTTTTTTGCATATATACCGAACAAACATATATTTGAGAATGTTCTCCAAAAATTTGAAGTTGATACAGCAAGCGAGAGATATATGCGATTTTAACTTCCAAAATTTTAAACGCGTTTTTTCGAAACTTTGTTTTCGGAGACGGGTCAGGGATCAAACCACCACTATATACTAAAATAAAAAAAAGCTGTACGTGATGGAAAATTTTTGAACTCAAATTCATAATCAGGATACCTAAAATACCCCCAGGTTTCTCTTAGCACATCAGTCGCAAATTTTTCCTACCGATTTGTTGAGTAGTGTATTCAAATTTTTTAAGCCATTCTAAAGTGTAATTTTTGCACAACAAGTAGTATTTTTTTATTTATGAACTTTTTTAATAGAAATAGAAAACAGATGCACCTACGATATTAAATAAAAAAGTAAACACCAACATTTCTATTAACAGTTACACTGACTTAATAACAGCACAACAATAAAGTATATAAAAATATTTCCAATGAACTCATAAAGAACAAATAGGTATATACATATGTAACCAATGACGTAACAATATATGGAGTAAGGAATCAGATGATATCATTTATGCATAAAATATTTATAAATGAAGCCGGCAAAGAATTAACAAACAAGGACGATGAGATAATGAGTTGACTTTATGCGAAACTGCGTAAGTCCCGACGACTTGCAACCCCAGCCACACATAAACCTTGACTATGTAAATGTAAATTTGGCATGCAACTCAAATAATAAAATTATGTAAGCAGAAGTAGTGGCTATGACGTTGAACAAAAGAAGAAAAAAATAATATTAACAATAAAAAAGCACAACTAACTGCTCACTTTTGCACGGAAAAAAGTGAACGCGGGCCAAAACTAGGGTATGGTCAGCTGTCAAATGGGGAACTGCGTAGTTTGTACATATGCTTAGTAAGACAGAGCGTTTAGCGGACGAGCGCGCAGTCAAAGCAACACAAAGCATATTTTCGTCTTTTTTGTTTTGTGCTTTATATCTATGAGAAATCGAGATGGACTCACACCCTCATTTCACTGTATGCTATGCATTTCTTCCATAGACTGTGGCGTGAAGTCATAAAAAACAATTTAGCACGCTGCTACCCGCTGCTTTGCCTTGACACATTTTCTTCGAGCGTTTTCTTATTTGTTCTACTCTTGCTGCTTTTTTTATGCTTTCTTATAGGTATGTACATATGTGAAATGTTCAACTTTTACCAATTTACACATTTGCTTTGTTTACAAAAAGATGTCCTTATATAGACCACACATATACGTGTGTATGTAGGTATACGTGGGTATCCTTTAGGGTCTGTTTAGTGACGTTTGTAATAAATTAATGTGATTTTAATTATGCAAAGCAGTTCTGGCCCCATTTCATAATATACTATTTTATTATAAATGTTCTTCTTTTGTATATATTACTATCATTTCTTAATCAATTTGGCGTGAAATTTATTTATTTATATGCTTCACGGCATTCTTTTATCGCGCTGTGAGAAGTTCAGATACAACAATATAAGTTCCATTGTGTATAATATTATTTATGTTTATTGCTGTAATTTATGCACACGGAAATATAATTCCAACACACATATAGATTTTCATATGTTTTTTAGGCTAACGCGCCTATGGATAGGCTAAGTTTTTACATAAATCGTCTTTATACACGAAGTTATAATGATATAAGCTTCTTTAATATTTAATAAATCGAATCAAAAACAAGCAAAACGTTACCTTTGGCTACACCGAAGCTAAAGTACCCTTCACAGCGGCATTTTTAAATAAAATGGTATACAAATATCTCTATATTGATTTTGATAGGTCATTTTGTATGACAGATATATGTTGTTATGGTCCGATCTGAACAATATGTTCGGAGCTTGTAGCATTGGCTTAGAAAATAATCTATGCCAAATTTCGTAAAAATATATTATATTTTTAAACCAAAAAGCTTTCTAAGGACTTGATTTTGATCAGTCAGCTTGTATGACAGCTATAACCTGTACTGATCCGATATCTGCGGCTCCGACAAGGGAATGACAGTTTCTTGGATAGAAAAGAGCGCTATCTCAAAAATTGAGAGACAAACGCGCATATATACAGACGTACATTCGATATCGACTCAGTTCAGGGTATAAAAATGGAACAAATAGAATTCTTGAAGTTTATAGACATTATTTATAGTGTCAACAAAATTATAGTAAACAACAATAACAAAAGAGTATGCACTAAAAACCGGCAAAGAGGCATAAGCAAAAAGTTTAACAAATTTATATGCTTAGTATATCCGTTCGAAACTCACATTTTTTAAAAATCTTAAAAGCAATAATCAAAAACAAAATAGAAAAAAAATTATTAATAAAATACAAATGAGTACCCACCTCTGTACGGTGCGGCCTTTACACGGTTCATACACTTCATCGTAAGTCAATTCGTTGGTCAATACATAACAGAGCCCTTGGCCAAAGCGATTCTCCATCATTTTGGTGACGTAACGATGCGCGCACACAAGTGCCTATAGAACAACAAAGCAAAACAAAGTATTTGAGTATAAGAAAACAACAATAATCATACCTAGATGATAAATGTAGCGCAATAGAAAAATATTATGTGGCAACAATGGCACTTATGTATATTTGTAAATAGAGGAGACTCCACCCAAAAAAAATTTAATTCACACTCCGGAGCTACTTCAGTTCACATAAGAAAATGAGTTGGGAAAAATGCTTAGAATTAATATGTGATTTATCGGCACCAAAGCGGCTAAAGAAAGCGCTGTTTACCTTAATTAAGTCATTAACGATTTATGTTTAAGTATGCTAACAATAACAACAATAATGGCGGCGTAAATTACTCTTCGGCACACACCTCACCAACTAGTTGGTGAGTGAATGGATTTCGGTTGCTCTTCTTGCTCTTTCGTACGATTTCGGTTTTGGTTTTCAATTGTATGGTCAAAATGTTAAGTATTTGTAGGGTCATTGAACAGTTCAATGCTAGTTATGAATTGAATGCGTTTGAAAGAGATTGTGTATTTCTAATACACGCGCTTATATATATTTTTTTATATTGCTGTGTGGTGGCTTAAGTCACATGTAAGAACTAAAGAATTACGCAGTAATAAATTTCTAGCATTGTACTTTCAATTATCCATAGTGTCTTTCTATAGGCCTCCAGCTGATAAATCAACATTTTTTTATTTAAATTTTTTTATTATATTATTGTATATTATACATTCTATTATCGTAATTATACAGGTTAAGTTAGAAAAAGGCAAAATAAAAATATTCCAATATGGACCAAACAAAGAAATTAACTTAAGATTGAATCAAATAGATTTTTATACGAATAACGATTTTTTCTTAAAACTAGTTTCTCGCAATAAATTTATTTACTTTAATTGTCCAAAAAATTGTAAATTATTTTAGTTGAAAAATTTTAAATATATAAATTTTGAAATTATTTAAAAAATATTGTATTAAAAAACAAATTTAATTAACTGTCAAAAATTTGTAATCACAAACGCGCAAAACAAAAACAATTTTAATAATTTGATTTATAACAAGTAAGGAAGGGCTAAGTTCGGATGTAACCGAACATTTTATACTCTCGAAAAGTCAATTGGTATACTTGTTTGAGATTTCTTTGTGGATTGACTGATATTTTCGGTAGAAGGTCAACTATAGGCACTGGGGTCCACATATTTAGTACTTAGGGGTTTGAACAGTTTTGGTTCGATTTAGACAATTTTTGGCCGCAAGGTGGCATACTTTAATTGCATTATTCACGCAAAGCTTTACCCCGATATAATCATTGTTACCTGATTTGCATAGTGGAAAGTGAAAGAATCAGATGGAATTGAAAATGGTGTTACATGGGAAGTAAGCGTGGTTGTAGTCCGATTTCGCCCATTTTCGCACTATGACATAGAAACATGAAAAGAACGTTATGCACCGAATTTGGTTGAAAGCGGTTGAGCAGATCTCAAGATATGGGTTTTCACCTAAAAGTGGGCTGTGCCACGCCCACTGTCTAATTTTGAACGCGGTTCCTATAAAGTCATCTTATACCATCTCAGAGATAAAATTTAATGTCTCTGGCGTGTTTAGTGCTTGATTTATCGCGCTTTTAGTAGTTTTTAACAGTACCGTTATATGGGGAGTGGGCGGAGTTGACACCCGATTTCAACTATTTTCACACCGTCAATAGAAGTGCTAAAAACATTTGCTTTCAGTGAATTTTGTTATTATAGCATTAGCGGTTTAGGAGATATGTACATTAAACCTATTAGAGGCGGGACCACGCCCACTTTTTTAAAAAAATTTTTAACTGAAGATGCCCCTCCCTAATGTGGTCCTGTGTACCAAATAACAGTCTTGTATCTTATTGCGGAGCTTAGTTATGGCAAGTTATTTGTTTTTGATTAATGGCGTTTTGTGGGCGTGGCAGTGGTCCGATTACGCCCATCTGCAATACCAACCGTCTCACGGTACCATGAAACATGTCTACCAAGTTTCATAAAGATATCTCAATTTTTACTCAAGTTAGAGCTTGCACAGACGGACGGACAGACGGACGGACGGACAGACAGTCACCCGGATTTCTACTCGTCTCTTCATCCTGATCATTTATATATATATAACCCTATATCTAACTCGATTAATTTTAGGTGATACAAACAACCGTTAGGTGAACAAAACTATTATACTCTGTAGCAACAGGTTGCGAGAGTATAAAAAGCTTAGTAGCTCTGTGTTCCTAAAATAACGCAAAAACGTTCGTTTACTTTATATTGTAATATTGTTAGTTAAAACCAAAAATATAGAAAATACTTTTAAAACATTTTTATTTGCAAAATATGATTATAAATAACTTTTTTTTTTAGTTTTTCAAATAACTTCCACAAAATTTTAATATCAAAATCAGAAAATTAAAAAAAAAAAATAATATAATATTAATAAATATCATGATTTCTTAATAAAAAATATTAAAATTTTTGTTTTTTTCAAAATTTAAAAATAATTTAGTTTTTATATTAGAATAAAATTTTTGAATTTCCAGAATTAAAACTTCTCCAAAATAAAAACTTTCGAAATACAAAGAAAATATTCTATATTTAATTAAATGAAATAAAAAGAACTTTTTATATAACTATAAAATTTTTTTACTTCAAAAATTGCCAATAAAATTAAACGATATGTAATCTTAATATAAAAGATATGTAATCTTAATATAAAAGGGTTTTCAAAACTATTGCAATAAAGCTTTTCTTGAAATTTTCCGTTTAAAATTCACGCTTTTGAATTTAAAGAAATAATTTTTGAAATACAAAACGAATTTCCGGGATTTTATTCAAATTGCACTTAAACACTGTATCTTTTAAATTCATATAACTCTCTTCTCAGTAGTAAGTTTATACAATTAAAACTACATACTGAGTGAAAAGTAAGGAAATTACATTTTACTTAGATTTTAAATAATATCTTCACATCCAACTTAGTTGTACATATATATCGATAGACGAATATTCGATAGTCTTAAAATCTAATATTTTTCAAAGCAATTTGTTCTTTGCAAACTTCCCAATATTACATGAAGTTTATTAATTCAAATATAATGAAAATATATCTTAAAACTTTAAAACATTTAAAACTGATTTTAATTTTTATAAAGTTTGCATATTTACCCTGCCGCCGAGTCCTTGCGATCGCACCGTAACGCCGAGCCATTGACCCTCTTTGATCTCATCGTCCGATGGCTCCTGCAGCTCTTCAATATCGTCGCTATCGTACGCTGTTATCATAGAGCATGTTGTGAACCAATACAAATACAAAAGAACATGTGCACAAAACACATACAAACATACAAAAAAACGGCAAGAGTTTGTGGAAGAGAGGAGAGAAAAGAAAAAAAGAAAAATGCAAGAGCACATATTAGTTAACAATCAAATATTTTTATATTAAATATTTTAGTTAATGAATTTAATACAATTTTATTTTTTTTGCTTGCATGGTGATGAATTAATTAAACACAACAATAATAACAAAACGTAGAACTCTATAACAACAATAATAATCAAATATTATATAAAGAATTACATACGTATTAAATAACGGTGAACGGAGAAATGTTTCGAAAATGAAAGTAATATGAAGAATGTTAAAAAAAGAAGTTTACAAAAATTTTGAATGCAAGAAGAGTAAAGCAAATGAAGTGTATGGTGATATTTAATAGCAAAAAATTCAGAAAAACTTTAATGCAAAAATCAGTCGAACATATATGAACCCAAAATGCAAAAACTTAATATTGAAAATAGGGCTGTTAAAAGAAAATGGAGAACAAAAATAATAAAAATATATTGAAGAGAACCACGATAATGTGATATTAAAGAAAACACTCTTGAATGCATTTAATTACAAAAACAAAAGTATGAAAGAAAATGCAGCAAAAGTAGTAAACATTATAAAAGAATAATAACTTATAAATATGACAATGGAGCGATCATGAGCGTGGTTTAAACTCGAAAGTGTTTATGGCTTCAATGACACTGACACTGACCGTTATTTGATGACAATTACATTTTATTTAATGTTGTTTGAGTGAGAAATGTGTCACAAGAGTAAAACGAGAGAGAGTGAGAGAGATAGAGAGGTGAGCTATAAAAAGATTCCAGATGAAAATTATGTACGAGTAAAAATGATTTTTGACAATTAAAAGAACACCCACACATGCTGATATAGAGGTCAATATATAATTGTTCATCTTAAGATTTCATTTGAGATCGACTAAGCTGAACTGTTACAGGCAATAAAGTTAAATCTCTATCAGTGATATACAAAGCTATACAGGCGAAATCAAATCGCTTAAATTCTTTGCATTCTTCTCGAAACCTTGACCTATGTCAATAAAAGCTTTAATGAATATAAAATTTTGGCAACGCTCAATATCAAGGTTTCAAGTACTATTCCACACTTTTCATACTAAATACTTGTAGGCTGTTTAGCTTGTAGAACGAAACTGAAGGGAGTTTCACTCATTTCTTGAAGATACGAAAAAAATCGAAACTAAGCTCATATTTCTCTTAACAAGTCGACAACTGGAATCGCGAACTTTATTTATTATAGGATTGGAAGCAAATTTTTGATTTGTAAATATCTTCGAACAACTCCCAGGATTACAAAGTTTTCCATCATCATTCATCTTCTTCAGTTAATGAGTTATTATACGCTGAACAGAAAAGAAGCAAGTCGGAGACCTTATCAAATATATAATTAATGAGATGAGTTGATTTAGTCATGTTCGTCCGTCCGCCTGTATGTACGTGAACTAGACCCTTAGTTCTCGAGATATCGATATAAAATTGCGCACATATAATTTCTTCGGCAAGAACTCATTTCTCGGAACTGATCCATAAAAATTCAGTCCTCGTATGGAAAACTTATTTATTTGGCAAGATATATGCATGAAATTTGATATTGCTTATTCTCTAAAGAGACACAACAATTCCCAATCATATTATTTAGATCTGTACCATAGTGGGTATTTGACTAGTTAAAATCAAGTCCTTGTCGTTTTTTTTTTGTTAGTTTTGCCAATAAGTTTAAAGAACCCAGGTGACAGGCAAACGAAAGTAAACCTTAATTAATTGCTTTCTTTTTGTTATTCACTTGTTGATATTGATGTACATATAAATATATAGCGATCATTAGTCACTAAAGTCAACCATAAACGCTGAAAAGTCCATACACCAATAATTCATACAACGAAGAGAAAATCGCTGGCGCATACGAGCGAGAGCCAATGATAAATGATTATCGGCTTACAGCGGAACTAATAAAACAATCAAAATGAAATTAATGACTGAAGAAACAAAACAACTAAACGGGGGCGATGAGCGATCCACAAACATATGAAAATACGCTAGGTGGCAATAATGGTCAAACACAAAACCGACAGCCAATAATTTTGCTTGAAAATTGTTCATAATGAAAGATCAGTGAAAATGAAAAGAGAAATGAACCGCAATTCATGTTGTTTAAAATGTAGCAGACACCTAATGAATATACATACATACATCTATAGGAATTTGCATGGTGGCAGCTCAGTAAACTTGCCTACGTACACACATTTGTATGTACATATGTGAGTGCATCAGCCGACTGTTGAGTTTGTGTGGGCGCGATCGGATCATCATTTTGTTGCCGTTTCACATTTCATGTGGTTATACCGTAACAGCTGCGCTTTTGCAGCAATTTAATTATGTTAAGTGAAAGCGATGCACAAAATGATTAACTTTGTTTGCTTGCATGCTTCTTTAAATTATTTTTTATGCATATAGTCTTTGTTTTGAAGTGACTTTGTCAACTTAAGTCTTGATTTAAGCCCACACACAGACGCCGCAAATATGTATTGTTAAATGCATAGTTACTTACGTACAATAGGGTGGTAAGTTCACAAAATTGGTCTACACACTTAATCGACCACTCGGTGACCCGAAATATATTGCAAAAATGCTGCTCCCGGGAGTAGATGGTAAAGTCTTACTTCCTTCAATACAAAATGAACGAACCAAAGGGTCCGAATTGGTTTCGACTACACAGAGATGATACACTCTTTCATATCCCTCATAATCTTTTGACATTAACTAAAGCAGAGCATTGAGTTCATTCACTGTGTGCTCAAAATTATTTAAGGGCTGTGTCGATAACATCAAGCTACTTTATCATCAGATTCGTTTGCCATAGCGGAAACGCTGGAATTTGCAATATTTGCGAGTTCATCGTGCAAGAGATGGCTCAATAAGATTCGGATTGGAACCGAATTTGGTGTCCGTTGTCCTCTTACGTTCCAGCGCTGGACTTCTGAACTTCACCTGAGCTTAGCAGGTTTTGGTTAACAACTAGCTCCTGTGTGACTGCGAGATCTTTCTGGCTTCGTGGAGAACGCAGGAGATCCACTGAACTACCTGCTTTCAGTGATGTTCAACTTATTGTATTAGTTCTTGGTCATTGCCCAATAGGCTTGCATGCGGTAAGGCTGAACATTTTATCGGACGGTAGCTGTCTAAGTTTCATGGAAGGAAGGAGAGGTGAAAACATGCAGGCACTTTCTCCTCCACTGTCCAGCTTTTGCAAGACAGCGGTTGATGCATCTCGGCAGTTATATATTCGGCATACCTGGCGAAACAGCCGGAGTTGATATCAGCCTCCTCAACACATTTGTGGCAGGCTCAAAGCGATTTGTTGAAAGTTGTTTTTGAGAGCCGATTCGATTAGTACTTAGGAGTACTTAGTTATCACAATGGACCAATGTTCTCAGCTGTCAAAGTGGGATCCGTTTTCTGGATCGACCTTTTAACCTAGCCTCAACTAACCTATTGACTTATTTAAAATATAGTGAGGATTACAATGACCACAGTAGTAACAATTAGTGAGACACTCCTATAAACTAAGTAAAACTGTCAGAGAGAGTGTTATATGGCCGTTGTGTTCGAAGACATTTATTCTTGATGCTTGAAAAGTAAGGTGAAATTCGAAGAAAAACTCTTTTTGCTGCGACCGCCTCTATTCTAATACAAACTTTGGCGATTAGATGGAAAAAGAGTTATTTACATATTTTGAGCTTTTTAAATGTCAAAGTCTATATGAGATCTAAAACTAAATTTATTTACACACATTTATTTATCACCCTAATAGTACCAGCTGCATATGATGTTGCAAGTGAGCCCAATAAATCTAAAGATGCAGAGGCAAATTTCGTTGGCGATAAATAAATAAAAGTGATCTCTACAACAGGTTTGACTGATTGGTGTGGTTACAGCGTCCAAACTCTACGTTGGCGTGCAACTGGTAAATTTTCAAAATGAAGCAACATATACTCGTATACATATGTATGTATATACTACAAGTATATGTGCAACAAACACATGTCAGTGTCAAACTTCTGACTATTTACTTATGCCTAGGCGTTTCGGTAAATAATGGCCGGTATTTGTGTGTAAGCTGACGATCCAGACATTTGTAGTTATAAATATGTTAGATATACCTATATATGAAATTGAAAGTTATTTGCCTACATACTAAATACCTCTACAAATGCATGTGTATCTAAATCAATATATTTATGTAAATATAATGTATGTAGAAAAGTGAAAACTTTATTAAAAGGAAATGCAGGTAAATGGTTGATGGTGTGTGTGTAAATATATTTGTTTGCCAGCGGAAAATAAAAGCGCAGATTTCAATACTTATAAATTTAGCTCGTGTGATTCGTACTCTAAAAGTAACTTTTGTCATTTAATTGTGCTCTATTCGTAAGTGTATTAGTAGTTTCGAGGGAATGTTAGTAGAAGCCACTACTTTTGTACAAATTAAGAATAATACAATATTTATATAAGTTGCCGGCTAGTATTACTTATTCATACAATTATTGATGTGCTTCAATGTTATATGATTTTTTCTTTGGTTAGCTGCGAGCTTCTTTAGGTTAAGCTGTTTTTAAGGGTCCCTAATTACCAACCATCTCAAGTGATAACTGAATTAATTACTTATTTTAGCCTTGCAAAAAATGCCACAAGCTCGAGAGAACCCAGGATTAGTCGGAAAGGCATATGTGGCTTATGGTATTTTTGATCGTTTTATATGGAACGAACTGTTCGCTTTTGTTTGAGCATGTAAAGATACAGATTTACTCTCTTTGAGGGTAATATATTGTATATGGTAAAATTATATAAAATTTTAACTATTTGTTTCTGAATAATTATAATTTAATGAATACTTAATTGTACCCTAAAG